TGAGCACATAAGGTTGGAGGCACAGCCCTTCATCGTAGCACTAACTCCTGCTGCATTTGCTGAAAAAAACAATTTGAATTTGTCATGTGAGTAACATGTTTGGAACTTTTGTTAAAAATGTTATCGAAATAATTATGGTATAAAACATGCTGGCCTCTTACCTGTCAGTTTCATGCAGTGGTTTTCCTCCCCTTGACAATTAACAGTCTGGGTGCAATCCTCTCCCTCGCAGCTGAAGCACTTTTTGCCATTTGGAGTGGATTTATAGTCTAAGATACAAAGATACTTATTCCTTGAAAGGATTAAAACTTAAAAAATTTCTCTTTCACCTTCACTTTAGTTTTATTTTAATTTAATCCATTCCTACTTCTACATTTAAAAATCGTATAAGTCTCAAGTAATACATGTTTGTTTGTTTAACTCTCTTAAGCAAAGTATGAAAATAAAAAAAAAACCACTAGGAATTCAATTACCTGGAAATTTGTTGTTACAGAGCTTTGTAGTGCAGCATGAGGTCATTTGTACGCTTTTGATTTTTCCAAGGTTAATGGAGCCTTCAATACAGTCTTCAGGCATGGCGCAAGCTTTGACTTCCATTTGAGGAATCTCATTTTCTCCTATGACAAAGAACGCATACGTTTAAGTCAGTTACAAACTAGCGGCCATAAACAATGTAAAAGTATACAGTTACACACCGTAATATGCGACAACTCTTGATGCTAGGCACTGGGACTTCTGTGAGGGACATTCTGCTATTTTGTCATTGCATTTCCCATAGGCATCCAGTGAACATTCATAGCATTGCAGGGAATCAGCTGTTTAACACAAAAAAGAATACCCACTTTTATGTCAACAAAGTATGAAGTAAACAATGTTACTTAAATATTTCTAGATACTAATACGACAAAAAAGGCTGTAACAGCATGAGAAGGAATATAATTTACAACACAGAATAAAAAAAAAAAAAACAGAAAATACCTCATATCTATAGAGTTTTTAATATGTAGTAGTTTCTACCTTAAATCAAATCAGTTAACTGTGAGCTTTTTTATAAACCAATATAAAATGAAAAGAAGCCTAAAAAAAATAGTAAACAGAAGATAAGTGTAACCTAATGAATAACCCACACTCTTTGTAAAATAAAAATAATATTCAATTAAATAAAAAACTTACTTTTTGGGAGAAAGAATGCCCCAAGAAACAATATGAAGAGGAACATTTTGCTGCTGCTACACAGGTGAGTTCTACCTTTCTTGGTGAATATATACAGAACTTCTTGTGGGAGGGGCCTTTGACCACCAGTTGTATGCCTCCTACTCAACTGATGCAGCTACTTGAAATTAGGCAGATAATCCTGCTTGCTCTCTGATTTGTAGAATCATAATCCTTTTAATAATACATTTTTAAGGTTCCTAAAAATGTTTTCCTTTTTCATTATTATTATGGTTTCCTATTGTAAAGACCTATTTTGTAGAAAAGGCTAAACCAAATTGGATACTTTTATGAGCATCCAACATTGAGATACTTGTCTTTCATAAGAAATTATAGGCATACGTATTAGATCGTTTAACAGTATCATTATACCAACAGTCAGTTTAGGCTTCCTTGAATAAGAATGGGACCAAAGGTATGTTTGTCAAGGAAGCAAGTGCAAAAAAGTTTTTTAGATGCTCAAAGCAAAGGAAAAAGTTATAAATTCATTTTAATAGTAGTGGTCTGATACATTTTTTCATCATATGATAACCCCAAAAGCAGTTACAGACACTTTGCATTTGTTAGGGTTAGGTATTGTTTCCTATATTTTAGATCCAAGAATTCAATCTGGCACTATTCCTCTTGTGTGGGAAACGGTCCTTGTTGAATTAATAAAAGCAATACTACTGTAATTTTCTCAGATGGTTTTATCACAACATAAATAAATAGGTTTCATTTCTGCTTTATGTGAACACATCTAGGCCTATTCTCTACATTATGTCCAACTATGTTAATTCTAGCTCAAACATATCAGTTTCATTTTATGAGAAATGAAACCTAAGCATTTCCCCTGAACTGACTTAAGTTTTTTAGTTTTAAAAGGAAGTAAGACTAGCACATAATCAATAACAGAACTAAATAAAACTAAAAGCTACTGAGCTTACATATAAATAATGATTAGATAAAAAGACTGTGATTACTATTCATGGTTGTATGTTTCGGCAACAAAAGAGAAACAATCCCTATCTAGCAGATGGTGATAGCATTTGCATTATCATTGGACCATGGCTTAAAACATTCTGAGTTAAACTCATAGACTAATGTCTTAATCATTAAACCATACCAATTAATATAAAATTAGCAGTTAGATCAGCGAAAATTAGAGTTTTTAATATCTTCAAGGACTTGCAATGAAATGGGCATGTTCCATGATGCAGAATGTTTCAACAAATTAAGGGATATAAATTACAAACATTAAGAGAAATGTATCATAACATATTGTTCTTAGCAACCTATAGTTATTAAGGAGTTTGTGATATGGTGTCAAAAAAAAATCATCTGAACCTAAATAAAAAATACAAAAAACACAAGGTAGATAATTGTCAATTTTAGAAGAAACAGGAAAAAGTTGGATACTATGACCATATAAGAAGAAGTGAAGGTCGTGGAGGAGTATGAATACCTGGTGTCCAGCTAAACAACAGACTGGAATATGAAGTCGTCTACAAGAAGGGACAGAAATGACTGCAGCTCTATTGGAAGCTTAGGTTCTTCAGTGTTTGCTAGCCTGGCCAGTCAGACTGAGTAACACATGTAATTCACATGTAATTCATTATTTTGTGAAATGTGATTTTTTTTTTTGCGTTGCCGTTCCTATTTTCAAATATGAGTGACTTGTATGTTATCTCCTGTGTTAACTGCAGTCATACAACGCAAATGTCCCACATGTGCAGTAGAGGACACAATGACATCACAGGCCAACATGCTCTGTATTTACAATAGTAAACATCGATGGCAGTGCCTATGGTAGAGCCTATCTAGTGATTTTTCCCAACCATAAAAACACAATCTTTGCAAGATGGTTAAACGTAAATACTGCGCTCCGCATTATCGTCTGCCATGGATGTTGTTTTTCTTGCCGCTTCTTCATTGCAAGACCCAGAATAGTGACCTTTGTCGGGTATTAATGGCGTTCAGGTCGGACGAATGCGACCTGGCCATTCAGGCACAGTTTTGCATTTGAAAAAATACGATTAGTATCGGATTAAGGACCACATAGCCAAATGGCCTGGGTTGCATTGGAAAAAATCGGACCTGTGTTGTTCAGACAGCCATGAAAAGATCAGATACAGGCAGCATATGGGCCAAAATCAGATTTGGGTCCCTTCAGGCTGCAGTGTGAAAGTAGCCTAGAAGAAAATGAATGCAGTTTAGATGAATGCTGATTCTTCCGGTTCATAGGTCAGTATTGGTGGCACTTCCTATGACTCAGTAGCTCTCAGCCTAAAGGTTGGTTGGCACTATATAAATTAACCGGTTTAGTTGAACTATTTGTTGTTTTAAAGTTATAGAGGACCATCTTTTATTTCTTAGTGGACCATCTAAATAAGTGGTCGTCCCAATTGTCAATCATTCTGGTGATATGTTTATGTGAGGATGTCCTACATGCCCGTTCCGTTAGCTATGTGTTTCTGCGCATGCACACTTTCAGATGAGCTATGGTTTCGGACAGTCATTAAAGCTCACCTTTCTAATCTTTGAAAATGGCAAAGGGTCGTAATAGAAAAAGTGTCTACAAAGTGTATGAGAAGAAAAGAAAGGCCTCAGAAGAGGCAGATATATCCTGGAATGCTTTGCACGGAGAGCTCTCCTCGCAAAGCATTATGGAATTTTCTGTGACAGGTAACAGAATGGTAAGTTGACTGAGCTCACTATAAAGTCCCTGCTCTATATAGTGATTGAGGGATTTAGGGGTTAGGGCAGACGTTCGGACACGGTAACCTTGTATGCGCTATGAGTACAGCAACTTTTAAACAGAGCATGCACCAGGAAAAATGGGCTTATGCATGCCGTCACATGCACATTGTTTTTTTTAAAGTGGAGAGGGCATGGGTTTTTAAAAAATCAAATAAAATCCTCCAAAATACCTTTAAATTAAATTTAAGATGGATTTCACCTCTTTTCCTCATTATAAACTTTAGTACAATATAACTATCCACACTGAACTGTGAAATGATTGTATCATTATGTTGGTAATTGGTTCTATTAATTTGCTGTAATTGTACTTAGTAGTTTGAAATATTTTTGCCTGGACTTGGATTTTTTCACATGAAAAATTCTTGTATTTTTGGAATGTTGCCTTCTCATTGGTTGACATGTCAAAAGTTTTTTTGTTAAAATCAAATAACCAAACCTATTGAAGTTCAACAGGAGTGGGATGTCAAAGGGCAGCCAACACAGAAAAAAACAAATAACCTGTATCTAGAAACAATTTAACCATAAAACTATTTTTATTCTAGTTTTAAATGTACAGTTTCTCTACTAAAGATCGTATGACCTTTAACAAACACCCCATAGCAGGTTTTTCGTGTTGAAGGAAAATTTGCTGGGGAATGCAAACAGCAACTTGGCTGTTTTGACTAATATAACGACTCTGTAAATTTCAAGTCCCTTGAGAAAATAGATCAGCACCAAGAAAGGGTTCCTCCTTTGAAAATGATTTGCAAGTAAAATATGTTTTGCCTGTACCAACTGCAGATCAAAATGCTCTCCAGGTGCAGCAGGAATAGTAGAGTTGTTTGTTATTTAGAATTCAAATAATCAAATTTGCCTAAAGAAAAACTAACTATTTGGACATGTATGGATATGTATAAGGATATGTTGCACAAAGAGAATCTAATGAGAGTCAAAAGGGCTATTCCATTCCCCTCTTTCTAATGCCTTCTCCGTATCCATGAAGGGCACTCATCTGACTGACATGGTGTGTACAACAGTCGAACAGCTGAATTATTTTTTATGTGTATTGGAGCTTTTTTAAAAGAAAGAAATCGTTCATGCTAAATCTATAGAAAATAAGCAAACCAATTTCTATGCGTTATTTGATTTTTTAATGAAAAATAAAGACACTCAAAATGACAACATGAAAGTCTTGCATTTCTCAAAGAAACACAATCCAAAAACCAGTGTACAAAATAGTTTGATACAGGTGAGCACTATAAAACTTCGGTGGGGTTAATGTATGTGAAGTACTCTTAAAACATAGGTTTTCTGGCATAGCTTCTAACCACTCCGTCCACTCTTAATTTATTTCAGCTATACAACCATCAGTTGTTAATCCCATAATTTTTACATATTTTTTATTTGTAAATGTATCATTTATTTTTCAGAGCACTCATTTATGGTAATTTTAAAATTGCTTCTAGGTTGACTTAAAAATATCTTTCTTTTGTGGTACTTATCTTATTCAAAAACTCAATATCTACTTGAAAGAAGGTAACTTCAAAGGGTAGTTTATTTGTGGTCCTCCACTTCAAGTTTCATAGTTAGCAACCTGGTCATGTGTATGTGATTACATATAAGCAAGGTGTTAGAACACAAATTGCAGATATACAGAGCAACAACAACATACTTTTGCTGTTTCCTCTATGCAGTTAGAACTTAAAAAGTATGATAGACATATAGACATAACTATAAGAAATAGCACCGTATAACCTCACAATTTTGGATTTGGAAAAGTAAAAGATTTTGTCTTCAAGATATGCCTGCAGTCTATGTTAAATGTTACTTTCAACGGGATTCATGGATAAAGGTAGCAGAGTATCATCAGCATAACAGGGGAAATTAATCCCATGCTATCTAATAATTCTACTAATTGGGAGCATATATATATATAGTAAAGAGAATTGGTCATAGAACTGATCCCTTCAGTACTCCACAGATAACTCTCGAGCTTGATGAAGATGAATCATTAACATGAACAACCTACATTTTCAGACAAAAAAGATTTATACCAGCCTAGTACAGTTCCTTTTATTCCTTGCAAAGTTTCAAGGCTCTTTAAAATAACATTGTGATAAACTGTAGCAAAGGCGGCGCTGAGACCTAACAGGGTGAATACAGATACAAGTCCATTAATCTAACGCCATGAGATGAAATGAGATGAGATGAAATTAGATTTATTTGAACATGATACAAATATAAAAAAATAAAATAGTGCACAGTAACAAGAAGTGCATAAAAAAGAAGAGAAAAA